GTGCCAGAAATGCTCAAAAATAATATACCTATTATTTATATTATTATAGGAAGCTAGAGCCCTAGAATGGACCAGGTATGCCTTTAATTTAACTCAGGATTTCCAAAAATAAAATTTCTGATGACAAAGTAATTTTGATTTTTTTTTCCTAGTCTTCTGATTACTGGTATAGACGGTAATACACAGCAACAATAAAAATAAAAAGAGAAACAAAATATAGCCACTCTTAAAAACAAGACAGAAGAATAAAACATAGGCAAAATACATAAGCCTCAAAAACATCTTTGTGGACTCATCTCTACTGGCAAAGAAAACAATGGAGAAATAAGCAGCTGTTAAACTAAAAATAAAAAGCTTCTGTGCAGCAAAATAGTGGTCAAAACAGAGTCACCATACTAAATGGGAGAAAATATTTGCACACCATACATCTGATAAGAGATTGATACTGAAGATCTACAAAGCGTTTATACAACCAACAAAAAGAAAACAAACAACCCAATCAAAAAATGGGCAGAAGAGGGGGTTCTACCTGTTGGGCTTCCACCTGAGTTTGATCCCCAGCCAGGGTGCTAACCCACATATGGAGCAACAGACCTCTCCTGTGACACCTGCTGCTCCCTTCAACAGTACATTTGAGTACATTTGCCTGTTCTGCTCCCCACTCGGTCTCTCGTGAATTCTCTCACCCCTATACCTCTGGCCTATACTCCAGTTCTTCTCCATACTAAAAATAAAGAAAATAAACACAATTTTAAAACAATGAACAGAAGAATGAAACTGGCACTCTTCCAAAGAAGACATGTAGATGGCCAACATATGAGAAAATGTGCATCATCACTTATCATCAAAACCACAATGAGATACCACCTCACATGTGAGAATGGCCCATATTAAAAAAAAAAAACCTTAAACAGAGGGTGTGGAGAAAAAGGAACACTGTTACACTGCTGGTGGGAATGTAGACTGCTATAGCTCCCATGGAAAGAACACAAAACACAAAAATGGATTTACCACATGAGCCAGCAATTCCACTCTTAGGTATCTATCCAAAGAGCACAAAAACACTAATTTGACAGGAAACTGTACTCTTGTGTTTATAACAGCACTATTTACAATCGCTAAGATATGGAAACTACCTAAATGCCCCAGACTTGGGTGAGTTGACCAAGAAGCTCTGGGACAATACATGATGGAGTAATATTAAGTGAGTGAAAATGATGAACTCATGGATTTGCAGCAACGTGGATGGAGCAGGAAGGAATTATGCTCAGTGACATGAGTCAGACGAAAAAGATTAACACCAGATGGCTTCACTTATTTGTGGAACCTACAGTAACTAAACAAAGGGTCAGAAAAAGACAAACTGTAAGTGTGATTTCTGAAAGCAGACTGTAGATGTGAGACATTCAGCAGGGGCATGAGAGGGGGAGAGGAGGAAAGGAGAGCCCGGAGGAGTGTGATGGAAAGCTGTGGGCACTTTGGTGATGGTTAAACTATGGTGACCACACCTGAGGGAGAAAATCCCAAATGGTGAGAAAATGAACAAGGATGTTGAAAACAAAACAAGATCAATCTATAGATTAAAAACAAAACAGAAAAGCCATACTGTGAACAAGAATGAAGCCACGGTTCTCTCTATTTTCACCATTGTGCTTTACTCCTTCGGGGAAATAGGAACAGAAAGTGCAACCTGCCAGTTGGGGAGGCACAAAGCCAGGGGCAGCCTGCCAACTCATAAAGGGTGACAAACTCTGCTACCAATTTACCGCACTGTGGGTACAGGGGGTCAGAAGGACAGAAATCCAGTACTGAAGCCAATCACCAAAGCACCTGCTGTGTGAATATATGGTGTCTCATCATTTTAGCTGCTAAAGTTTTGGGTTCCATTTCTATAGTTAGTTTATTTTGGTTGTTACTCATTTTCCATGTGTCGATCTACAGTAT